TGAGACGGACTCACGGTGCCATCACTACAGCCCTTGGCCCCTTGTTGCCCTGCAAACTGCTCACCTCCAGCTGAGCTCCAAGGCTGCTACTAGGTCGGCTCAGCCAGCCTCTCACTGTGGCACCCTACCATCAGCCAGTCACTGCAAGTCAGCACTACTCACCTCCAGCTCCTCCAAGGCTGGGTCGTCCTCTTTCTCTTTCGCGTGGCTTCCTCCTCTACAGCTTTGCCTCAGATTCATTTCAAACTTTCCAACTCTAGGTATTGCAGTTTCTAAAGCTACCATTTTTGTGCTTTGCTTTAGTGATTCTAACTAGTATAATTTAATTTTTATGCTTGAGTGCTTTAGTGTTTCTAGCTAGTAATTTTTGTATTTTTAATTAGTAATTTTTAATTTAATTTTTGTATTTTAGTGCTTGAGTATTTTTAACTAGGAGGGTATACCAAAGTGGGGGTGCATAATAACGCTTGACTATAGTAATTTTGAATTTAATTTTTGTGCTTTACTGGTTTGTGCTTTACTAGTTTGTGCTTTACTGGTTTTTAACTATTAATTTTTAATTTAATTCATTTTTAGGTATTAATTAGCCAATGTCTTCACAAGAGCCTACCCTCCCCCCCATTGATTCAAATTCCAAATGAATCAAGTGCAAGTATTATACCGAATGTTGTTGCCACACCAACTTCATCCTCGGCTATGGTTCCTCTTCCTCTTGCATTAGAAAGTGGTACTGGTGAAGATAAAAAAGATGATCAAGGACATAAGCGGCCACTTACTTCTGAAGCATGGAACCATTATCGGAGGCAAAAAATTAATGGTCATTGGAAAGCTATTTGTGTCTATTGCAATAAGCATCTTGGAGGTGAGACCAAGAATGGGACAAGCCATTTGCGTGATCAAACTCGGGTCTGTCCATTGAAATCTGTTTCTGACATAAGGCAAACATTTTTGAGAGCTTCAAAGAATCAAGAAGGAAAAACAGAACTTAGGAATGGACTTTTCAATCAAGAGATGGCTAGAAGGGAGCTTGCATATATGATTACTGCGCATGAGTTACCTCTATCAATTGTTGATCATATTTTCTTTAGAAGGTTTGTTGCTGCTCCCCAACCAAGGTTCAAGTATGTTTCGAGAAACACAATCAAGAAAGATATCATGGGCATCTATCGTAATGAAAAGTCTAAAACAATGAAGTTGTTAGAGGTCAATCAAAGTAGAATTGCCATCACAACAGACATGTGGACTTCAAATAATCAAAAGAGAGGTTTTATGGTCATCACAGCACATTATATTGACAATTCATGGATGTTGCAAAATCAAATTATCAGGTGATATTTTGTTATTTTTGTTCTGATTTTTTTAAATATATATTTATGTTTATGAGTTTAGAATATTTAGTGTAATTCATTCTATTGTTTTTTACAGTTTTCAATATGTGCCTTGTCCACATACTTCTGAGGTACTTGCAAAAACTTTGTTAGATTGTTTGATGGATTGGAATATTGATAGGAAATTGTCTACAATCACAATGGATAATTGTTCTACTAATGATGCCATGGTAAATGTGTTATTAGGAAAAGTATCTGATGAGTCATTATGGGTAGAAGGAACCTTGATACATATGCGTTGTTCTGCCCATATCTTAAACTTAATTGTCAAAGATGGGTTGGAGGTAATTGTTGATGAAAT